GTGCTGTGGCCGGAGAGTGGGAGTCACGGATTTACAAAACAAATGAACGGTTACTCGAGGAGAGAGGAGGGGAGTAATCTGACCGCTCCCCTGCTTTGCATTCACATTAAAGAACTACTCTCTGCTACTTCTACCCCACCCCACCCAGTCTGGACTGAACACACACACACACACACACACACACGCACACACACACACACTCCCCTCCTCCTCTCTGTGTATCTTTACTCTTTGACTTGAATCAACAACATCACAAGTGTAGCGGAGCCCGTCAGCAGCGTGACTCCTCTTTGTCATGGAGGTGTGAATATTTTGTTTCTCTCTGCCTGTGTTTGTGCATAATTATGAACTGGCAGCGTGTCATTTATAATCTGAGAGGAGAATCATTTACCACTTGTTGTGAAAGCTGTAACCAAACAGCAGCTTTCTCTATTGACATGTTTGTTTGTGTTTTGTTTTGTTTTTTTTCTCTCTAATCCATGTCCAGTGCATGAATCTTATGGATGTTATTTTCCTCCAGTACAAATATTATTTTGTGAGAATTGGACAGACTATTGTAGATTGTACATGTAGGAAACAGTCAGGTTTAGTCACCGGTGATTTTGCATGTTTTCTCTCCACATCACATTAACTGCGGATTGATAGACTGACGGATATATTTATGTAATTGTCAACAGATCCCATGAGCAGAATTACTAACAAGTCAATTAAGTATTATTAGAGCTCTGTTATTAAACACATCAGTGAGTCACACTGTTGAACTGTTCTTTCATCACCATGAACACACACACTGTAGTTTATTTAGTCCCACACACACCGTCCTGCCGCTTCAAATACTCACAAATGTGTGTTAATCCGCCACTGAAAATAGTTCCTAACAACTGCAGTATTTCTTCCTGTTTGAGTCATGTCTGATAAAAACTAAAGTGCCCAGCTGTTTTAAGGAATTACTGAGACTTGTTAAAAAAATTAAACTGCAGACTTGTAGGTGTTTTTAAGGTTCATAATGCCACAATTATCCCTTAAAACAAAGCAATGTCTGGTACTTATGTCTGCGGGTTAAGATCTGGTCAAAGTACTGGAATAATTTCATAAAGTAATTCACAAGGGAAAAAGCAGAGATTAGAAGGATGTCTGATAAAAGTATTTATTTCTCATTTTATTCTGACGGCCTTGTTACTTTCATTTTTCAATTAATCTTAATTCCCTGAATGTGTTTTTAAAGCAGTGATGAAAAATAAGCAGCTGGCTAACGGTGCCACGATCAACCTGCTTCATCCTTGTGAATAAATATAAGAAATAAGTAAGTATATATAGGCATATATGTGTATATATGACCATATGTTCACTGTACTGTTTGTATTGCATTGTTTTCTGTTTGTTTTCTGAGAGACATGAACAATAAAGAAAGACAATGAAGAGACTAAGAGTGAATTCTATTCTGAATCCCACAGATTCCAAAATTCAAATTAAGGGGGAAATTAAAGGGTCAAAATTTTGCTATGATTAAATGCTTTCTCATTACGAGGGACTGTAACTGTTGCTGACATATATTTTAATAACGTCTTTGCTTCTTTCACTCAGCTCAGACTTAAATTTGAATTGGAATTAACCTCAGATCAAGGAACTACAATCTAAGCTCCGTCACCAAAAATAGCAGATTGTAATTTGGAGATCATAGCAGTTCAGTGTGGAATGGTAATAGCTAATACATGAATTCTAATGCTGTGGAATAAAGGCTCCTTAAACAGCAGTTTAAATCCTGTCTGAATTAAGCAGCCTGCTGCATGTGAAACCTAGAATTACCGCCCCGCGGCTGTATGCCTCCGCCAAGCAGTCAAGTTACAGTTCACATCTAAGTCTGTCCAGACTCATCGCCTTTCTTATATGTCGTGAAGAATTTGAAGGAATGTGTGTATTTTGTGATATTCGGATATATAAATAAAACTAATTTGACTTTGTAAAGCGTTGTTGTTCTTGTTCTGCTGCATGTTTACTACTGTATGAGCGTTCATTTAGAGAAACAAGTTGAAAAGAAGTTGTTGCCATGACAGTGGACAACGCTTCAAATATGGATGTTTCTGCAAAGTAGCTACAAATTCTTAAACACGGAGGCTTCATGCACAACTTCAACCCAGCAGCACAGAAGATCTACACAATCACCACAGTTTCAATGTGAACACCAAGGTGAGTGTCAGCAGTTCACTGTCCAACCAAATGTTCCCAATCTCTCCTTCTGTTGCTGAGTTACAGCCTTAATTAACAGCAAGAAAAGTGTATTTTCAGATCGTTATGATGTCACAGTGATATTTATCATTTTATCCTATTAGACATTGGTGTGAAATTGTGTCATAATTAGCGTATTCATTCTGGAGTTATGGCCAAAACTTCAGTCAGAGTGACCTTGACCTTTGACCTTTAACCACCAAAGTCTAACAACTTCATCCCAGACTCCGAATGAACATTTGTGCTGAACTTGAAAAAATTCCCTTCAGCCGTTCCTGAAATATCACGACCAGGAGAACGGGACGGACGACTTGAGAACATAACATGCGTAAAACCAGATATGAATCAGCTGGGAAATGTAGTTTTTTTTAGATATACTGTATTAACTGTCTTGCCTGCTTGACTATACCTGGCAACACTTGTGAGTATTGTATGTTGTTTTATTAATGTTTATTTCTTGAAAACAAAAAAATTGACCCTATTTGCGGCATTGTATAAGTTTAAATTACATTTTAAAGTCATTTTTGTATTGCTGTCTAATCTGATTTCTATGTATCCATGGAGCACTGTAGGGACACTGGTTGCCTGTGAATGACTGCATGTTATGCCGCGTGCTTGTAATTTGATAACTCATCATCTTGGACTGTTGCCATAATGTTTATTTATTGCTGTATTTTCCCTTCTCTTAGTGCGCTGTGTATCAGTTTTTATCGTTTGGATGAGGATGGGTGCGGGGTTTAGATGTCACCATGGAGAGTTTTGTTGTGTTCGGATGTTTTACATCTGAATTTTGAAGAAGGATTCTGACTAAAAACAATATTACAGTGTCACAGTAGAATACTTGTAAAGTTGAGGACTGATCCTGGGTCACTGAGAGTTGAAGTAACCACCCACCATTCTACGTGACTCTTACTTCCCTTCCTCCGCACCATCTCAATCTGAAACTGCTGTCTGTTCCTCTTTTCATGTCGCCCTTTTAAAGATCCAACAACTCTCACTTTTCATGCGTGTGGCTCATATCTGCATAAATATTTGCATTCGAAGACATCACGATCATTTCCTCTAAATTTCCAGGAGACCAGCTGGTTCCCAAGCAGCATCTCACACACAGCCTTGACTGTGTTCCCATTCAAACTGCAGCGCTGCAGGACAAACACACACACACACACACACACACACACACACACACACAAAACACACATTCACCATACAACACCACATACACACACACACACACACACACACAACCACAAACACACACACACACACCATCACACACCACACACACACACATACACACACACACACCCACACAACACCACACACACACACACACACACACACACACACACACACACACACACACACACAGAACAGCTTTCATTTCAAACAGCCTTCCGTGATAAGAAATGTGGGTAACAATGTGATGTCTGCATCAATAGGCCACTTCAGCCCAACATCCAAGAGTCACGTGGGATCAAACCCACATCAAAGCCTGGCTGATGCCACTATGAGAGCTGAGCAACAATGGAACAATAATTAAAGCCACATGGATATCCAACCATCCGCTCCGTCGCATACACACACACGCACACACACACGTCTCTTTGTCACACGAATAGAAAGAGCACCGTTTGATGCCTGTCACGACAACACACCAGCCCTTCCAAATCTTGACACGCAGCTACCTGCCACACAATGTGCGAGCAAGTCATTTCCATCCATTTGAATGCAGCAAACACATTTAGTCACTTTCATCCACTAAGCAGCTGATCATTATTTGGGGCGAGGGAAGCTGTCATCATAACCAGCAGTAATGCAACGGCAACACATAACAAACAAACACAATAAAAAAAGCCAAAGCGCCTCCATTGCACTGTTTAATGAGGCAAGATACAAGAATATGCTTCGGCTGCATTGATTCACCCACTTTTTTATCCATTCGTGAATAGTCAGGCTCATTTACTTCATTTATCTTATAATTAATATCCAGAACGTGCTCATTTTTTTCCTTTTCTTTTTTTCACAGTAGTTTTTGATTAATGTTCCTGTTACTTTTTCTTTTTTTTTCTTCACTGCTGCCTGCTCAGTGTGTGGAGGGGATATTTTAACTCTTCTGAAGGAGAGAATCCAAAACATTCATATCAAGTATAAAGAAATTGAAAGACCTGATGGATATTGAGTAATTTCTCACTAAACAAAGAGTCTGTGTGTGTGGATGAAAATCTAACAGTGTTTCAGTTATCTTATTTTAAGTTGAGAAAAGAGAAGTTTCAACCAGCTGACTGTGAATGGAGTTTTTGAGCAGCAGCTGAGGATGTGTGAAGGGTTATAACATTTAATTCCTTGCAAGAAAGAAAGCAGGTGAGCAGAAAAGTTGCAGCATGACTGCCTGACATCGTCTTCAGGGCTGCCACAGAAGCTCGACGCCGACGACATAAGGTGCTCGTGCGTAATAGTGCGGAAACATGTTGGATGCCCTTATTCCCTCCATGAGTGGGTGTGCTTAAAACATAACGCGCACAGCTCTTGGAAAAAAAAGGAAAAGGGTCCATTTGTACCTCCTCAGCATCGACGTCCTCCTCGCTGTCAGTGGGTTCCGGTGCTTTCACGAACCACCACTGGATCTCCAAATACACAGACGCGGTTCCGCTCTGGAAAGCACACGCCATTTCAATGTTTTGTCCCTCTTTAACCGTCATGTTGGAGGGCAGATCCGTGAAGCGACCTGCGGATGAGAGAATTGGGGAAGGGGGAGGGGGGGTGGGAGGGGGGAGAGGAGGGGGTGTATATGATGAGGACAGTTTGCATTATTTCTCCATGCAAATGATCACTTATACTGGTCCGCCTGTGGCCGCTGTCATGACCGTGACCGCGGGTAACGCTGCCTCACCGGCGGCTGCTTTACCGGAGCCAAGCGCTTGATTAAGGTGCTTTCTTGTTCTAATTGAAGGAGATGGCGCCCCCCGTCCCCCCGTCCCCCCCTGTTCCCCCACACCTCCCCCCATGTCACAGACACTGACGCGTCTTCATCGGGAATTTACATAACGCACAGTCGCACCACGGCCACATGATTCAGACGCCTCGTTTCGAGCGGGTTGGTGTTTTTATGGGAGTTTTTTTTTTTTTTTTCTATTTCACTCCATCACTCCATGTTGTGTGTCATTGTGTGGCCGTTGTGCAGCTATTTTTCACACCTGGATTAATCACTGAATAAACTTGTAGCAGAATGTGAACAAACACAAAGAGCCTTAAAGTGAAAAACACGGAAAATAACAGATGAGTTTGGTTTGAGGGAGAGAAAAAGGAGAATATAGCCTGAAGCAGAGTGAGGGCGACGATGGGAAAAAAGCGTGAGGATATCCGTGCATGCAAACTTTGATACCAAACCGTGATTTACATTCTGTATAAGAAACCGCCGCCGTTCTTAGACTGTTTGTAGGTTTGTGCGCGTTTATGGGCGATCTGGGAATGCAGCTTTAATGAGGAAGAGGAGCGCAGAGGCAGTTAGAAAGTAATCAGAGATGAAGCAGGGCAGACATGCTCTGGACTGTCGCTTTCAGGACCACGGACAGCCGCATGCAGCAGCGTCCGCGGTGCTGAAATCACGGGCTCATCGACCACTTCTCACAAGTTATTTCTCTTCATGGCCTCAACCTTTTTTATATCATGAGAGAAAATGCAAAGAAACAAAAAAACAAAAACAAAGAACATCTGTTTTCTCTCCTCCACATGACGCCAAATGACTTGATTTCAAACGATCACCAGTTGCATTTTTTTCTCGACATCACCAGTAAAGAAAAAAAAAAGAAAAGACGCAACCTTGCTTTTCTCTTTGACAATCCCTCTGACTTAAAACATCCTCCGTCTCCCTCCAAACAGCCTCCTGAGCCTTTTCCAGAAAAGGCTGCGCACTTTTAACACTTTCTCCGACCGAGCAGCCTCCACCATGCAGGGCAGCAATCCCGACACGATGCCACCGAAAACACACTGAAGGAAACATGCGATTCTTACCTTCAAAGGAGAATCCCAATTGCACGCAAAATCCGGCTAAGAAAACAAATCCAACAGTATCATGAGAGGTCCACATCATTCCAATATAGAGAGGGGAGATTTCTTTACATCAGCCGAAGGCAGGAAAAAAGACGAATCTTTCCCCCAGAAAAAAAGCAGCCTCACACACCAGCAAAATCAAACAGTTGCTGAGCGAGTGTGTTTAAACGGAGATTGCCGAAGGTGGAACATGCTGCAAAAAAACACAGCTTTGTCGGTGCTGAAGTTCTTTAGGTTTTTTTTTTCTTCTTCCTCCTCCTCTCTGTGTCTCTGCAGGAGGAGAGACTGTCGACTGCTCGGCTCTATTGAAGTCTGTGAAATAGCCGGGCTGCGGTCTCCGTCTGCGCTACCGGAGAGACGTCAGTCTAGTGGATCACACTCCGCACCTCTGCAAATCTAGTCCTCCTCACCCCGGCTCCTCACTGTCACCTTGACCGCTGGATTTTTCAAAATGCGCCGCGCACAGATATTTGCATCTTTAAGAGGGGATTTATTTTTTTGGTAAAATGTGCGCTAAATGATGCAGCTTCTTCTTTTTTTTCTTTTTTTGCGCTCTAGGGTTTTTTAGAATTACATATATTTAAAATGCAGAAAACTTCCGTCGCTCAACGCCTCAAAAGTCTATAACATAAAGAAGTGTGCGTGTCCACTGTGGGTGTGTCGACAGCCAGTCTGCGAGGCTATAAAACAATATTTTAGCATTAGATTGGAGCAAAAGGGGAGGGGGTGTGGGTGGGTGGGAGGTGGGGATGGACCAGTGAGTGCAGGGCAAAGCACGGCATGTCCAGAGTCATTAAGGTAGAATATATCCTGCCGGAATATTACTGGTCTCCTGAGCAGACTCTGAACACTCTGCCCCCTTTTTTGTTGCAATGGGCACAAATCGCGCCACTCCTCATATTCTGCTCTTAATTGATTCAGAGACCAATCAGGTGTCACATCCTTCTGGGACCAGCACTTCACTCTCCCATCAACACAAGTGTCTGCAGGCAGGGGTGTTATTAAAGAGACTGGTCTGGAGTCAGCTGGATAATCTCTGGTCCCGGATGTCATCCAGTTCACAGCAGATTCAGGGCTGTACTTTGAAGCAGCTAATTGATCATGTTGCATTGTTGCATTAAAGTCAATGAAAACTTGCTTTCAAGTCAAGTTTTTCGTAATAATATTAAATATTCATGATTAAATGAGCAGCAATTTGGTTGTGAAATTATATTTTGGGTTGAAACACAGCGGATCCGTTTCATCAAGTGAGTGGGTGTGTTTTCATCCGGTTTGATTGACAGTGGGCTGGTTGAAGCAAACAAACAGCAGCACACAACCACCATCACCATGTGAAAGGAGCACAGACAAAAACATAAACTCATGTGTGACCAAATTATGCGTTCATGTAGAACCGCAATGCTCATCACAAAGAGCTCATTCAGGAAAAAACATTACCTTGATGCAGGAAAACACAGCCACTCAAAGCAGATTCACAATGTTGTAAAGTTACAATTGTGGATAGTGGAACTAAAATCAAACAATTTCATTCAACTAAATCAGATCAGGCTTGATTCTGCCTGATGCTGATGGTGCTGTATTTTGAGAGTGGATTCAGAAAGATAAGAAACTGATGTGCCTCATGTTTTGTTGCTAAGAGGAAATAGCAGATCAATAAAAACGTTGTCGAAGTTCAACCTGAAAGAGCACAGAGAGAGAAATGCATATTTATTTCAACAACTTTTTAATGCTAAAGTTTCTCAGCTGCTGCAACAACAGCACTTTTTAAACAACAACTATAGCTTTAAAAATATATTTCAAAATCTTTATCTGAGTGCATAAACTCCATTGGAAATATATGCAGCAGCAGGAAAAGGATGACAGGACTGTCCACTGTTGGCCTTCAAAAAATGAGTATGTCATCAGCACAGCTCTGTTTTGAGACGGAGTAAATGTGATTTTCGAACCGAGCCTGGCAGCTGCTCAGTTTGAAAACACTTTGCTCTGGTTTGCAGCAGGTCTCCGGCTGAACGTGGTTCCCTCCCATCTGTTCTGTGGCAGACTCTGAGACGTGTTCGCTGCTGCTTGGTGGTGGTGTCGGGAGGGAGGTGTCACCAGATCATACATAAACAATATGGTTTTTTAACATTTTCTTTTTTTTTTCAAATTTGCTGCAACAGGAGCAACTGTGTGTGGGAAGACTGACTGATATGCACCTGTTAAGAACATAAATAATGCTTGTAAATTGTACACAAATTATTTATATTCATTCATTATTACTATTACTATTACTAATTAATAGAATTAACAATTTTTCATATGTTCATATGCAAAACTATACCTTCCATGGACTCACTATGAAAAAACTGTTCCCAATTTAATTTAATTAAATCTATCCATGTCATTCATTTGTCCTTTACAAAGCATGTAGAATTTTAGATAAGCACAAATTAACCCTAACCCTTAATTTCAAAATCCTGAATTCAGTTAATTATTTAAAGGTCCCATATAGTCTAAAGGTCTCTGTCCATGTGTTGATTGATTATAGATCAGGTCTAGCTTCTATATTAATACTGTGAAAGTATCAAAGCCTCAGTCCACAGAGAAATGCACACAGCCTGTATTCAGAAACTGAGCCTTAAAACCAGCCGTCAGGACTTCTGGAACTTTGTGATGTCACAACAAAGCAGTCACCAAGCCCCGCCCACCTGGACCCACCATCCAAACCTTGCAGGATTTGGTTTCTCTGAGTGTATTACCTGAAATCTGCTATGTTTTTATTGGCTCACTCAGAAAACAGTCAGCCAATCAGAAGAGAGGCTCAGAGCCTCCTCTCTTCTGATTGGCTCACTGACCGGTTTTATGGTTCTTAAAACCACAAATATATTTTGTTCTGGATCAACACTTCAAATAAAACACAGGAGAAGAAGAAAATATGGAGCTTTAAGATTTTAAGAAGTCAGGTTTCCCCTTGAGTCACATGTCAAATTCCATGCTTGTATGAACTAAATAATTAGATTGAGTCAATTTTAATAGTGTTTTAATTCATTCAAAACTTCAGTTTAACCAAATTTCCTGAATTTTCAACTTAATTAGAAAATGAAGGCGCTTTAATTAATTAATTTGGTCAATTTTAATATATTTTTTTACTCCTATATGTGCTAATGTGCAGATAATCCAATAAAATACATTATGTACTGCACGTCATTATTAATGGATAAATTAGTATGATCAAGGTTAAAAATGAAGGCATTCAGTTTCAGGGGGATTAGTTCCCTATCAGCTCCGATGTGACTGAAATTAACATTTCAGGTCATGCAAAGGAAAGTTCCTCGCTTCACTGCCTCCACTTCAGATGGTCTGAACTTTGAGCAAAGTGTTTCTTTGTGAGGTTGTGTGGTCAGCTGGTCGCCACCACTGCCCCTCAGTGTGAAGCAGCAACTAGCTGCCACTGAGGGATTCTGCTGCTCGTCATGTCAAAGCCAGCTGAGCTGAGGAGACACTTGATAGCTGGCGGGTCCTTACGCTTGGAGGTCTGGCGTAACATAATGAAACGAGGACACTTTAAAGGAGTCACCTTGGAGTCAGGTAAGGAGTTAACGATATAGACGATCTAGATTGTGACAAAGTCACTGGAGACATGAAATAAAATCAGTTCAATACGAAACCTTTTGTTGTGGAACAGAAAAAGAGACTTTGATTCTTTTCTTTTGAAGAGCTCTGATTGAAGATGAATTGTATCTCTGCTTTCTGTCTTAATAAAACTTAATAATTCAGTGACTCAGTAGTTTCTAAAGTCAACAGATTTTCATTTATGAATATAAAGTTCAACTGAGTATAAATTTTTAAGTGTATAATTAGAGTCAGAACGCTGCAGTGAGTCTGACACCAAAGAATGATTGTGCTTTCCTCGTCTTTGCAAAAACTCATAATCAATTTAGACGAACAAATCCTGCTTAGAGTCAAAACAAATCTTTACCTGACAATATCCTAATCTTATGAAATAAGACAAAGCCACTATCTCATGGTACTCATCAGCGAATGGAGTTTGCTCAGTTGTAACGGAGCTTTTATTTTTTTTCGTAATTGTTTTTGAAATTACTTATAGAGCATTTTACTAAGAAGGATCTTTTTTCATGAATCTTTGTCTGAGTAACATTTCATTAGCTGTAAACCTCCTCCAGGAAACATGTCAGTATGATTTTGTATCTAGTTCTCTGATACAGCATGTCATACTGGCTTGATTAAGTAGACTGACTCAGTGTTTGATTATGAGTGAAAAGTCACTGTGCTCCAGATAAAGCACCTGATCTCGTTAGTGTTTGACTGCTCCGATCCTTGTGTTTCTCTTAACAATGAAAAAAAAAACAGCTGTTTGTTCAAATGCCTAAATATGACACATGCTCATGTAGCTGAAAAGCACCTCGAGCTACTGTGTGAATAATGACTTGTCTGTCATGCGCAAAGACGGAAGTACCCAGACGTTGTAGCAGAGCCACAAAACCCCAGGCTGGATCATCCAAAAAATGTCAGTACCTGCTGCCCCTGTTTTCTCATAAAGCTGATCATCACAAATATCACATCTGATCTATTTCAGGCACAGTGGCCCATCCCTGCTATAAAACTCTGCAGGAGACCCTGGTGAAGTCACATGTATCTAGGCATGTAATAGGCATGCCATGTAGGCGGAACATAATCTTAAATAAAAAAAAAGGCCTTAACACTAGATTTTAACTTGTGGCACCTCTGCGACACAGACCACAAGACTAATGCAGGTAAACCAGGAAAAAAGATACAATGCAGGTGGGTGGTGGATACAGTACTCCCAAGCAAATTAGAATTTCATTAAAATACTACAAAATAATTACCACACTGAAAACCTGGAAATGTGGGGACCCCTGAGGGTGTCGAGTCCGAGGACAGCTGCCCACCTTCCCCAGCTGATGTGGCAGTGCTGTGGTTAAGCTTTGGTTAGGCTATGGGAAAGATTGTGGTTTGGGTTAAAACAAGTGTGAGTTAGTGTGAGGGTTAAGATTAGATTATTTAACTGTGATACAGATTCAGTTTAAATTTGACTTTTATCTATTTCTTTATTTATTTTCCTGTCTGCATGCAGAGGACTTCATCCCATTTGACCGATTAACTGAATAAATAAAGCATTTAGTTTCTGTGCATTGCAGGAAGAAGAGGTGATTTAAACAACTGACCTGAGTATTTCTCAT